AAAGAAGATCATCAACCAGAAGACAGGATGCTATACTATTACATTAGGTAAATAGATTCAAGAAAAATACGATACAAAGTCATTATTATATAATATAAAGGTATTCCAGCAGGCTATAACAATTCTAAATACATATATGCACTCAACACTGGACACCCAGATACAAAGCAATATTTATCAGAGTAAAAGAAGAGCTAGACCAGAGAGCTCGACCCAATATATAATTGTTGGAGTTTTTAGCGTTTGTCAGAACGTCCGCGCGGCGAGGAGAGCCTGCTGATTTCCGTGCGGGCTCTTGTCAATGGTGAAGCTGTTTATTGGAAACTTGCCTCGGAGGCCACAGAACAGGAGATCGCTCACTTTTGAGCGTATGGGAAGGTGCTGGAATGTGACACTCATTCTATGGCTTTGTGCACATAGAAGACAAAACTGCAGCTGAGGATGCCATACGCAACCTGCACCACTACAACTTCATGGGTGAACATCAATGTGGAAGCCAGCAAGAATAAGAGCAAAACCTCAACAAAGTTGCATGTGGGCAACATCAGTCCACCTGCACCAACAAGGAGCTTGGGCCAAGTTTGAGGAGTATGGTCCAGTCATTGAATGTGACATCGTCAAAGATTATGCTTCGTACACATGGAGCGGGCAGAGGATGCAGTGGAGGCCATCAGGCCTTGATAACACAGAGTTCAGGCAAACGAATGCACGTGCAGTTGTCACCAGCCCGGCTTAGGACTGCGCCCGGATGGGAGACCAGAGCGGCTGTTATCGGTGCGGGAAGAGGGGCACTGGTCCAAAGAGTGTCCGATAGATGTTCAGGCCGCGTGGCAGACTTGACCGAGCAAATAATGAGCAATACGGAGCAGTGCGTACGCCTTACACCATGCCTATGGGGATTCATCGTATTACAACAACGCTTACGGAGCGCTCGATGCTACTACAAGCGCTGCGTGTTGCCCGTCCTATGAGGCAGTGGCGGCTGCAGCTGCCTCCGTGTATAATACTGCAGAGCAGACCCTGTCCCAGCTGCCACAAGTCCAGAACAAGCCATGGCCAGTCCCTCACCTCAACCTCTCTTGATCCATACGATAGACACCTGTTGCCGACCTAAGGAGCTGCTGCTGCAGTTACTGCAGCTTCCACTTCATATTACGGGCGGGATCGGAGCCCCTGCCGTCGCGCTACCAGCCCCAGTCCTGTGGAGAGGGCTACGGTTACGGCATGAGAGTGAGTTGTCCCAAGCTTCAGCAGCCGCGCGGAAATTCCCTGTACGACATGGCCCGGTATGAGCGGGAGCAGTATGCGGATCGGCGCGGTACTCAGCCTTTTAAGGCTTGAGGTGGG